TTCTTCGATTCATCATACCTCGCGTTTGAAAAACCCTTTGTCGAGATGTTTTTATTCCCGAGAAGCATGACTATAGAGAAAAAAAGGAGTATCGTGCTCTCTGTCGACTTGAACGTAAGTATGAAAAACATTTGATAAACATTTTTCCTCTTGATTGTTTTAGAAATTTTTTTTTTTTTTTTTTCTTTTGCTCCTTCCATAGACAATATTGCGAAACTTCCACATCAGGCACGCGAGCTTATACTCTGTGGACACCGTCTGCATATATATATATATATCCACACATCGTGACGCATCTTAATCCAATTAGAAGTACACGCACGACACACCATGTGCTTTCACCCGACTGGAATTTCCAGCGCAACAAAGAGCTCGGTTGTGTGCAGCCGTACAAGAGTAGTATAGATATAGGCCATAATACTTTATCACGGCGTCTATTGGCCCATGGGATACTATGTACATAATGTGTACGGGATCTGAAAAAGGAGGCTTTTCGATCTATATCCCAAGCACATTATACTTACACACCGCATGATTCGTTGGGTGACGAATCGTGGATATATTACATGTATATATACCTACAGTCAGGGAGATTAAAAGTGTACGCACATCGAGGGATGACGTAACCCAATAACCATGAATGTTCACAAAGTGAGCACAGGGGGAGAACGTATATAATATATTATATTAAGTATGTGCTTTTACGTTATAGCGAGGGTTTGCCACAATATCTCGGACCCGCTTGGGTTGTATGGTTTCCAAGGGAAAAGCTCCCGATCGTATGCTACTCGTGACAAAAGATCAGCATTTTGATGCCCACATTCGTTTTTATAAGTATATCTCACGAGTTAAGCACACAACGCCAAACTCGATGCCGGGCGAAAAACTAAAGTTTCGCTTAAGTAGCAGAGCCACGATGCACCCAAAGGATGGATCAAGCTTTTACAGAGATCTAAGATGAGACATTTAGCTCTGCATGCAAGTAAAGTTGCTGGCCCTTGCGTCGAGCTTCAAAGCTCGCGTTTCACTATGATACTTGTAGGTGCACGTGCAGCGAATAGAAAAAGAAGAGAAAGGGTGTGTATACCTATACTTAAATGCGCTCTCAGGAAGAGAAATAGCGAAAAGAAGAGGCACAGCGCATGCATAAACGAGAGAGAGAGAGAGAGAGAGGGCTTGCTCTGAAAATAAAAGCTTGCTCGCAAGCCTATAGGTATATTATAATAGTGGCCAAGCCCTGCTACTCTCTGCCCACAGTGCCCCGATGAAGGAGTCACTGACACTATGTGTATATGTATACGTGTAGGTATATATAATCGTAGCGGGGATGAGTCCTCGCACACGCCATCACACACTGCTTACAGAGATACGGATTACGCGACGCCACGCTAAAAGATTATCATGTACATGAAAAGCTATAATAGAGAGGAGTATAGGCGCAGAGCACTCTGATGGTCCGAGCGAGAGATGGGGAAAACAAAAGTTTACACGTTTCTTCTCTACCTAACTATTGGAAATGTACTTATTATATAAGGGTAGCGCCGAAAAGTGCCTAAAAACACAAATAACAATCCAGAGGGTGAAGATACCTACCCTCGGAGCAATTATAATCTTTTCGCCACAAGTGCCATTTAATTACACAAATCGGTACAATCGTATACGCAGTCTTTTTTTTTATATATGTGGGGTCTAATGGTATTCATCTCAGCTAAGACTTTGATACGATCGTATACGTCTCGCCATACGTCTTCCTCTCGCCCTTTTTTTTTCACTTGATCCTCGATTGTTCGCATAACATGGCATCGATGATTGTTAGTTTTCGGCTCTGTGATCGGTGTATATATATATAGACAAAGGGCTGCGTACCCGTCAATTCGTTAAATACTGCAAAATCTCGAAATACTGAAAAACTTTTAAAGTCCAGCGAAAGATTTCAAAAAAAGCATGAAAGTAGTATAATTTTATTAAAGATAGCGCTCATCGAAATAGCAACAAAATATATGCACAGAAATTGATATATATTAGAAGAGGTGGCTCGGAGGAAGCTGCATTTTAATTTGGACGTGATAAGCGTGACCCGCGAAGTGCATAAACGTACGAGAGGTATACATATAAATACGCGTATAAGAGAGCGCCCACGCGTCCGCGGAATCTCTTCCTCTCTGACGTATATTTTCTCTCTTTTCGCGACTTGTCCGCTCTTCCTCTGCACTTCCGGTTACTTCTACTCAGTTTACAATCACGTCAAATACAATCTTGCTTTTATTCATACGAATTGCTACGAAAATAGTTTTACTCTCACGTGATCCTTGATTTTGCGACACCTTCCCTCGTCACTCGATTTTTTTTCTCCTTCTTTTATTAATTACACGCAGTTCTGTCAAACGGTGCGTTTTTACTTCTTCTATCGTAGATCTCAGTGCTATCGATAACAATTGTTTATAAAAACTAATGCTTACTTTAAAAAATTTAGTTTAAGCTTTGCTTCAAAAAAACAAATCTTTTTTTCGCTAGACTCATTGTTTTTTTTTTTTTTTTTTTCTTAATCTCAAAATATTATTTGTTGCCCCTACTAACGCACATCGTTGACACATGTACGCATTGACTTTTTTCTCCTTCAAACGATAAAAGTCCACCATACACGTGACTATTGACTTTCAGCTTTTACATGTACGTGTCATTTACACTTTGCCACGATAAATCAGCGCAAGCGTATATATCATGTGTGGCCCATTTCCTCCTCCTACGGGTGCTATGTAATCACAGTACACCATCATCCCCTGTCCCTCACTTTTTATTCTACTCATGCATAAACATCAAAGTTTTCATCCCAACCGCTCCTTCCTTTCATGTAATAGTTTCGGTTTAGTATACTGCACTGTGCAAATTTTTGCATCACAGGGCGCTTCTTTAAGACAAGTGTCGTTGCTGCTTTGCCTTGTATTTGTTAGGAAGGGAAAAAAATCGATTACTCAATATTCTTCATAATTACTAGCGTGAACCACGTACTCGAGTGAGGAGTATAGTGTTCGTTTACGTGCGAGTTTCAAGAGACGCGTCGACGAGCCCTTGAAAACTCTTCGAAAGGCTCCTTCACGAGGGCCGGAGTGATAAATCGTGTCTTTGAAACGCCAAGATGATACATTTTATTGTATATTACACGCCTTTTTCGAAACTGCAGTCGGTCCCTCCGGCTCTCCCCATGACTTATCATGTTCACCCCCATTCACCCCCAAAAAAGTAAGAATCAAATGAAATATCATGCGCGCACTCGAGTGTCGAGTTTTTCCCTTCTGGTGTGTGCATCGCGTAATATACGCATGCTGAGATCCACATAATTTTCATGGCTCGACTGAAGAATGAGCGCAGTATCATATCGCGTGAAAAATTTTTCCAATTTTTTTTACAGCTCATAAGATATTTTAGTTCTGGATTGCATGTACAAAAAGATGTAGGTTACGAGAATGAAAAGAAAAATTTGCGATGTTTATTTCATTTAGTCGTGTGTCGTGGCCATCAACTCTAATCATCTCGTAATAAAATCGTTTTCGACTATTTTAGACTGTTATTTCTCGTACGATATGAATATCATATTCAAATAATATTATCCAAATTGGTCGTATTTCAAGAAACGTATAAATATAAAGCCAATAGCGTGTTTACAGCGCGTCTCAGGATCTATCGACGTGAGTGTGGCCTTTTAATATCTACAAATGTATAATAATATATATGGTAATGGCGCATCGTTAATTTAATAGTGTTGGTGAATTTTAATTTGAAACTTTATAATTGCCTATCTCAGTATATAGCGTAACTAATTTTTAATATAATGTAAGACCAGAAGGTGAAATCCATGAAAATACGTTGCAACATGGATAAATTAAAAAATGGCAACAAAAAAAAGGTCCGAGTGTATTCATCGGAATGTCACATTTTTGGAAAAACGAGCCACACCGGCCACTTCAACGATAAAGGATTAAGTGATCCAGATAAGCCGAAGGATCGAAATTACAGTCAAACGAGCCATCACAATGGGCAGAATAATTTTTTTTCTTTTCTTTTCCGATCCCACGGATTAAGCCGTCGAGTCGAATTCCCCGCTCGGATCCCCATACAACTCCGATCCCCTTCCGCACGGATGATTCGAGGAGAAAAATCGAGCAACGACCACGTAGCTGCTCCCAAATCCAGCCCGCGCCCCTCGAAAAAATCGAGAGAGAGGATAGCCGGTGTGTTTCTCTTGATCGGTATGAATCAAAATGATAATTGCAACGTGACAGGCGGGTCTACGCGCGGAATCCGAACAAGAGCAAGAGAGCGGGAAGCGGCGGCTACGTCAAAATGCCGAGGGAGATGCATAATTCATGGAAAAAATCGGGATGATATAGAAAAGAGAGGAGAGGATATTATACTATATATCGTTCACGTACACATGCGTCGTTTTGACGTGGTCCGCCCTCCGTGTGTACGTATAGGTATATGCGCGCATACGCAAGAGAACCGTAAATTAATGTAATCGCGATGCGAAGTGCGGAGCCGGAGACGAGAGACGCTTTACTTTTCAGAAAGTCGGAGCCACACGCGAGCTTTGCACCCAGGCGTGTCACAGTTTTTTTTTTTTTTTTTTTTTTGTCTCTTTTAACGCATTAGTTCTGTCCATCGGAGTATGACTTTTACTCTTGTTAAATTGTCGATCGACTTTTATATCATGGGGTATGAAAATTTAAAGAAAATTTTGTAATCTCTTTTAAACGTAATTTATGACGAGTTCCAGCTGATTGTGGAACTAATGTGTTGTCAAACAATTCATTGGTAAAAAATATACAGCCACATGTAGCCAGGCTTCAACGGGTTCTCTGTAGTTCGAAGTTGATCGGTAACTTTAATTTCCAGTAAATCATAAAAAAATAAAAATCTCATGTAGTTTGCATGGTGTGGGTGCAAACTTTTTTTGTTGATTGAAAGAAAAGAATTTAACAAATAAAATGAAATACACTTACCCCAAACGAGGGTCAATTTCGTCGACGGTTTCTCAAAGAGCCGCAACATTAAAAAAAGAAAAAAGAAAACTCTCGAGTCACAGCTTCTTTTGCGATATCACCCAACCGAAAGCATATGATAGACAAAAAGCGAACGCACACAATGAAAACAAGTCAATCTGGCGACGATACCACGCTACAAGTGGACGCCACCTTGCATTGTTCACGTGCGTGGGGTATAGAGCGGCGCGAGCCGGCACGTCCGGTGTTCGGAGCAAAACTGCGGACCGTGGAAAGACAAGCGCTCCGTTTCTTCTTTCGTTGGGCGGGCAAAGGGGAGAAGGAGGAGCCCCCCTGCCATATGGTGCCTGTACGGTGTGTCCGCGCGCTGTCTCGGCGCGTTTAATGAAGGACTTTCCTTGATCGGTCGCCGATAATGCGTGGGATGCCCGAGGGTGTTGGAAAATGCTACTTGCGTGTGTAAAAATACGAAATTTTGCAAAGCATCGATGTGTTTTTCCATTGTTATTTTTAGTTGGTTTTTTGGCGGTTGCTTTCCGATTTTTGCCGATCTTTACCGATTTTTTTTTATCAATAACGGACAACTTGATTATGTTTAACGTAAAATGTATTAGAAAATAAAAAAATTTACGTTTTCACGTACTACTTTTGATGATTTAATTTACGAGATGAAGCGATAATTGATTGCCGCATCTGACACAAATCGCGTATGTATCCTTTTATCATCGCGTATGAGTTCTGCGTAGACTTTCAATATTCAGGTCAAAAATATTTTTTCGTCAAGGGTACATGTTTTAAAAAGTTTTTTGCGTTTTTTTCGTCAGTGCAACATTAAAAAGGAGATACTAATTAATGTCCAATCTGCCACGGACGTAAGTATTAATTTGTCTTGCCGTCCCAAATCGGCACCGAATGTTTTAGAAGTATTATCAGATGAACTGAGAATTTTTTTTCAAAAGTCTCTACAATGTTTCCAAAAAGGTTTTTAAACCATTTAAAGCGACAGCTGCTCTTTTTTCACGGTGAAACTCCTTTTAATCACTTATACGTTAATTTATATAATTGTTGCCTTACCTATTTACATAAAAATTAACGTCTGAGGAATCTAAATGGGATTGACAGTCTAAAAAAGCAGTGAATAAAAACTACGATCCTTTCTTTCGGACAACTAAAAATTACATTTTATTGGTTGCCCAGATTTTTTTTTGCATTTATTGCAAATTTAAAAAATTCCCACCTGCAAATCATGTATGCTGCCATTACCGAATTCTCTAAACCTCAATTGGCGCGTAAAATCTGTCAAACAATAAACACTCGCCAACCAAACCATTGTGGTAATCTATTGCTCACCAATTCAATCTTCCATTTTTTCCCCACTGACCGCTATAGCTCGCAAAAGTAGTATATTTATGTTAAAAACAGTTTAAACCTAGTGCTGCGCACCCAAAGTATACAGATTCATCGGAGAAACGGCACATCGATAAAAGTCAACTCTGTCCCCGTACATCCCCACCCTCTTTGTTTACATTCGGCGAGGCTTACGGAAAACTCAAGTTTCCATACCTACACAGACCCAAGTCGTTGGCAACCAAAATTTCCACGGCCACCAGTTGGTGTACAACACATTGGTAACAGTAATTAAAGCCTCATTTTCTTCGACAATCCGCGACCGCATCCGCAAATAACGAAAGTTGTGTTGTAATTTATCAGTTTTTCTCGTTAAACTTATATCATTGAGTGCGGTGCGTACGTCACAATGTGCCGCCGATGAGTGAAAATACGGTGAATCAATACGTGGTGTACATTGCCCCGAAATCGTTGAGATAATGCATCGGCCCTCCGAATGAACATAGACAGCGACAATGAGCATGAGAACGAGCGATAAACGTAGAGAGCAGGTATGGTAATATAGTCGACGCTTGATGCGTTCACCGTATAATATGTCCCTCAATGTTACACCTCTCGTTACAGAATAACTGATAACACTCTCGGATTACCCACTGACACGTGTATAATAATAAACCGCTCGAGCCCGATTTCCACTCAATCTCACTTCTGAAGTTACACGCGCCGTCTTACGCACTTGTACCCAGCAAGTCTGACTAACGTCAATATGGCATCCCATTGGATCTTTGCTATTGTTGTTGTGCTCTCTATTCTGGTAAGTCCTTTGTTTTAATTTTATCACTGTGGACAATCAAATATTCGGTTTTTTTTTGTTTTTTTTTTTTTTTTTTATGTTCAATTTTGCAGAATTCCGATGGGCTGTACTTGAAGCAAACTGTCCCGACTCATCGAACCAGTAAGTGTTATATTTACATTTGGTTGTTTTTTTTTCTCTCCCCCCCCCCCCCAACGGTTTGGTAACGAAATTTTATACAATCAAGGCGAGGACAACAGCCCGAAAATGGTCCAACTGAGTCCAGCGGGATACAAGCACTTGATGGCATCGCTGTTTGGAAAATCATCCTCCAAACCGAGACCCGATGTAACGTTCGCTCCGAAGCCCCCGTCGGGCGTGGAACAGAGCGAGGATGAAGCCCCGACCGAGTTGGAACCAAGAGCGGACGATCCAGAATTGGAGTACGAGGAAAAAACGGATCATCCGGTGAATTCGACTCTGGAGCCGATCATGGGCGCGGATTGCGACGACCAGACGTTATGCGAAGCGAGTTCGGTGATAAATTATCCCGACGAGGCTGTCCAGTCCGCGTTGAGGAAGAACAGACACCTCATGCTCATGCCTGCCAATGACATTGTAAGTTTTTGCTTTTTTTTTTTTTTCCACCTATATACATGTCAACAATTTCTCACAATGTTGTGTTTACCTTACGCAGATTCGCAGCGGCATGAGCTTGCAAGCTTTTACCGATAATCCGGATGAGATTTCGCTGTGCAATAAAATCGTAAGTTACATGAACTATTTAGCTTGGAATATACGTATCAAACGGTTTCATTAACAATATCAATCGTGTTTCAGGAGAGAATCGTGTACCCGCGCGCGGCGAAAAATATTTACAACAAATGGCAGTTTGTGATTAACACAAAGTACTTTAGACAGGGAATAAGAGTCGAGCTATGCACGTAAGTTATGTTTTTTTTATTTTATTATTTTTTTTTTTTTTATTTATGACCATTTAAAAACACGTAGTCGTACGGATATTGGGCATAACACTGTTTTTTTTTTTTTTTTTTTTTTTTGCAGTGACACGGAAAGTCCATGCAGATTTCTCGATTCGTTACCGGTGGGTTACAAATCCAAATGTCGACAAAACTTCATCTACAGACAACTACTGACGTTGAACGGTGCAAATTTAGAGATGGTAGCTCACCGAGTTCCCGTCAGCTGTAGTTGTTACTGCAGTGCTTCGCGAGGAAAAAAATAATTATGAAGAAAAAAAATTTTTTCTCGTTAATACGTAAATATATAAATATAAATTGTAGAGAATAAGAATAATAGAAACTGCGGGCAATATGCAGTTGTATTCGCTCCGAACGTAATATGAATTTTCGTACATATAGCTCTTACGTTTATGTAGTAAGTTTTGTAAATATCTTTTTTATACAAAGAAATTGTTAATTATGTTACGATGATTTATAACGCAGAACAACTCTGTTCAAAAGTAATCCCACGATGAACTATCAAAATGATTAATAAATTGATTTTTTCGCACAAAAACAAAGTGGACACGTCTCTGTTTTGAACCATATAACGTATAATTTTTCATATCTTTTTTAAAAATTATACCTAAATGCGTTTGCAATTTATTTTTTGTAATACGAAGGTACGAATAGAAACTTCCTGCGCCTCCTAGCGTTGATCGGTTGAACGTTGTATCGTGCCGATTAGCCGATAACGATAAATCCTACATCTAACATGTGTAAATATTGTGTTAGCTATCCGTTCATATCGTGTTAAAAGTGTTTTTCATATAAACATTATGAGGTATGTTTTCGTACGTTTAACAAACAAATAAATCAGATAAGAAAAGTTCACTGTTAATTTTCGTATTTTTCAATGACATCATCACCACGTCTTATCCATACGCCCGTCGAGAAAAGAATTAATTTATACAAGAGAGATTTGAGAACGCGTCGATTAAATAAATCACGTGACGCGAATAAATCAATCTGAACCTCGAACCGGCACGTATATAAATATAGACCTTTGATAGGCCGCAACATATACACTTTAACGCCTGCTCCTCCCACACTGTCAGTTGTTTGTCACTCGTCGTGTGGCCAACATGTACGAAAATCTGTTCAAGAGCCCGTTGCAGCGAGTATTTGTTTACGGCACATTGAAACGCGGCGAGCCGAATCATAGTTTATTGACCAGTGCGGAAAAGGGTTACTCAAAGTTTTTGGGCCTCGGAAAAACGCTGCTCAAGTATCCTTTGGTTATCGCTACGAAGTACAACATTCCGTTTCTGCTGAAGAGGCCGGGAGTCGGTAATGTGAGTTTTTTCTTCTTTTACGGATAATAAGTACCTACAAGCGGCTTTTAAGTACAAGTAACTTTGGTTCCTTCGATGTTGCGGTTAATGTAGAGCAAATTGTGGCGCGGTCATACAGAGAACGCAGCTTTTTTTTAAAACACCAATCCACTTGCACGACTTTAAAATAGCCTGAAGTAATTTACAATTTTTAATTGTGGACACTTATGTATTTCGGTGAATCTTCATTTTAAAAATCTGCTAACGAAGAGACTGACTAATTTCACCATTTTTAGCAAATAATTGGAGAAGTTTATGATGTGGACTCAAAGATGTTGAAGAGCTTGGACGAATTGGAAGAACACCCGAATTTTTACGTTCGAACTGAGGAAGACGTCTTGCTCGCATCGGAAAACGGTCTCAAAAAGGGGGCGAATTTCGAAGATGTAAGTTTTTTCATGTCATTATTTACTTCACATTTTGACGCTTCTGCTAATCAAATACAAAATGGATCTTAAATCCTTTTGTTTGTTTATAAATGGTATTATGAAATATTGCATCATATTAAAAATTTTGTGGTATGATAAAATTTTCTTTCATTTTTCTCGTAGATTGGGTCACAAACAAAAGCATGGATTTACATACTGCCTAGTTTTCGTGAATCACTACTAGAGCTACCCATGTACTCGTCTTACAGCAACGAAGGAAGTCACGGTCTTAAATACCACGAAAGGTATCTGCGAGATCCATCTTTTAACCATCGATGTGAAGTGTCGGCATCAATATAATTTTCAATTTTAAAAATCTCAATCAAATTCGCACAAAAATTCAGTGTCGTTTTTCTTATTCAAGTAATGAAACTCATCAATCGTAATCATAAACCAAACATTGCTTGAGTTATTAAATACATTTTTTTTAGTGATTCTGAATATGTGAAACCTGAGGATGTACAATAAGACAGAAACAAAAAATACTGAACAAGAACGTTTTAATGTAAAATATTGGGTTGTAAATAGACGAATAAAAAGACTAAGTTTACACTTGTTTTTTTACCCTTTTATTTATTTATTTTTTTAAATTATTATTAAGATGTTAAGTTGTCGTCGTATGTACTACTCACGATTCGTAAAAACGCATACATATAATCGATCTCCCTTTATGGTAGTGGCAATTTTTATTTTTTAAATTTTTTCTTTCAACTCGTAAGTATGGCGTTAAAATTACAAACCCCGCTCTGTAACAAAAGGCGCATCTTGCAACACACAAACTTTTTTATTTTTGTTCAATATTAGTATACTCATTGTATACAACATTTGTATAATTAGTAGTTCGAGTTCTTAGCGCGTTGACCACGTCGAGTAAATAATTTACAAACTATAATATGACAACGACTTGAGGAAGGACTCGGTAAAAAAAATTTATCTAAAACACTCACTAAAGGATATATTATGTATATCGAATGTTATATCGTCTATCCGATAAAAAAGAGTAAATGTGCTGTATAGACGTATGTAACTCTTTTTTATGAGATAACAATTAGTTTAATTTAAACATTGAGAAGTCATACAAAAGTTTGCGAAAAAATCTTAGCAAAACCCGTCCGCTCGTAAATGCACAGCGACAATCTCGTTGCAAAAAAGTCGGATAAGTATCATTGCATGAAATCCACATTTGAAATAATACGTACTTGAACAATTTGCTCATTTTGTTCTTTCTTTCCTTTATTTTTGTTTTTTATTTCGTTTAACTCTATACAGTTGCTTTTTTGCTCGAGATGATCCCAATGAGGTACTATACGCGCACAAGGATTTACAACGTTGAAATGCTTGTGAATCAGGCAGTTCTTCAACAAACTTGATTTTTTTCTTAGGAATTTACAAATAATCACAATTTTTTTCATCTTGCACTGTACAAAAACTCATTTCGGCTACCTAATCAGAAACTTAACCCTCACTTAGCACCTCAACAGTTTTTCAAAAGCAAGTTCTTTTTTTCTTTTCCTAATCATCCTTCCTCTTCTTTACTTGCTCCTGTTTCTCCTTACTGTGAATGAAGAAAAAAAACAAAGGTACTAACCTAACAAACATAATCAAACAAGCATCAACAAAAGCATACACACGTTACTTTTTCTTTTTTATATATGTATATATATATAAATTGTCCTTATATTTTCATCATTTTCGTCAGCACTTCTCTTTCCTTCGACAATGATAATAATATTGTTTGCTTTTACTTTGACTTTTAAACACTGTTTGCGTTAACGGCACCGCTCCGAAGCCCAGCCTCGGAATCTCACTGTAATTCAAGATGATAGAATATTTTTTACAGAGATTTTTTATTACTTAACTATTAAAGACTTTTGCTTTCGTTGACAAATGCAATGACTTCGCTCTTTTTTTGATATAATTTCGTGAGCGACATATCGCACAAACGTAAATAGATTTCTTCTAAGTATATACTTTTATTTATCAAAACTCGCGACATATTTTGATACGATTTGTAATAGTACTAGCAATTTTCTCACCGACTTTCGAGAGAAAATTGAAAACATCCAACGATTGAGTAGCGAATTTTCAAAAAGAGAGTGAAAGAAAAAAATTGTCAATAAATATATGTATATGTATGCACAAACGGTATGCAATTATTTAGCCTAAAAGTATGTGTCTATGGCGCAGCTGGGCCACGAAACGGAGCGAGGCGGTAACGTATATGGTTATCGATCGATTAGACGGTATTTGTTGCTTTCAGCTTTGATCTTGCGATAGCGCCCCGTATTTGTTTCCTAACGACAATTTAGGAGCTTGGTCCTGAGCTTCTGGCGTATTGTAAGTTCGAGTGCCCCCTCGATTACGAACTTCTTCAAAATTTCCTTCATCCTTTTTCCTAAATAAAGAGAAAAAACTAATGTTATTATTTGTCCAATAATGATTTCACAATAGAATTTGATTAGATTTCATGCAAAACATAAACAAATGTTTACAGTCGTAAGACTTGACAATTATTCGTACAATTACTTACTTTTTGCCCCATACTCCAGCCACATCGTTTGTTGCAGGCTTGGCATTTAATGTTGGGAAGTATTCTTCACTGTTGATGTCAGGAGCTACATTCTTTGCTCTGTGGCGACGCAGTGGAGCATCGGGTTGTGGATTCCTGAGGCCTGGTGGTCTGTAAACACCACCAACTACCTTGGAAGATTGTTGTGCTGGTTCGGGTTCTGGTGCTGGAGGTGGTGGATTATCAGTCTTTTTCCATGGACCGGAATTCTTATTGAGCTCTCCTGACTCCTGATCGGAAGCGTTTTCTCCAGTTCCTCTATCATCATCGACGTCTCGGTCATTTGTCTCGCTCACAGTAAGGTTTCCAATTTTCAGACCCGAGTAATCCTTCTTTTCCTCCTTGAATTCCTTCCACTCGTCTTCCTCCTGAAATCACATATTTTTGTACTCATGCGGTAAATCTTATGAAAACAATACGTTAATATGACATCAACGAGAGAAGAAATTGCCCAACGAGGAGTAGAGTTTCAACTAGACATTAGAATATTTTGCAAAAAAAACTAGGAGAGCAAAGGCCTCAAGGATGTGCAAAGCAGTATGCACGTAACAGCTGCCAATCCGGGGGGGGCGAGCCGCCTCGGACTACTCTCGGACAGTCCGACAACATAAATAATCCGCAGTAGCGAGAGCCATGCGTTACATAATTCCCGGCTTTCCCCCGGACTGGTTGACCGTTCCTCAGCTTGGAGGAATTCTTCCTTGGAACAAACGATCGAACCTGGAGGTGTGGTGCTAGAAAAGGAGCGCACACGAAAGAAGTTCTTGAAAAGCAAACGAATCGAGGGGGAAAGGAGGAGTGACGTTTGCTAGAGTATAATGCAAACATGGCAGCGGCGTACTTTTCACGTGGACTATGGATGAGGGAGAGCCCCAAAGAGGTGCGAAGAGTTTGGAACTCTTTGGGGTTAAACGCACACGGGGAGGTTGGTAAGTGTGCGTAAACCGTATACCTGTGGGTGAGTAGCAGCCTTACCCTTACCTCGATCTGCTGATTGTCGTCGTTGCCTTCGGAATTTTCCGGCTTCTCTTTGGGCTTGGGCTTCTCGAGGGTCTTCTTGCCAGTCTCCTCAAGCTTGCGAGCTATCTCATCGGTCGTCGTGAACTTTTTTCCCTTTGCTTTTTTGCGATCTTTTTTCGCAAAGAAATCGTCCAGGTCTGCCATGGTTGCTTTGTTGCTATTTACTACCTGCTACTGCTGCTGCTGTACTCGTGGACTCACTTAACCTGCTGCTGCTGTGCTGCGGCGCGCCGTCGTCGTGTCTCGCACGCGCACGTCGTACAATGTTAACAAAGTACCTACTTATACTCAGCTTACTCTACCTTCCTTTACGGGGCAGTTCTAGTGTTAGGTACGGTAAAAAGGCACTCCTTGACTTGTCCCGGCTATTCCTTGCCTTACGCTCAAGATGCTAAAGCACGACACGACACGAGGCCGCCTGTACGTGAACGAGAGCTACAAGCTACAAGCAGAGCAAAAACAGGCATACTTACTTATAAAAGAGAAAGAGAAAAACGTGACGTTGCTGTACGTTTGCCTATATCTGACTGCCCTTGGGATTTAAACTCACTTAACTCAAGATCTGGAAAAATGACCCACACAATTAATATTACTTTAAACAGTCTAAACTCTAATTTAAACTCTTCCTAAATTCGGGATTGGCAATCAAACTGATTATGATATATGTACTTATAATCACTTTTGTATCAAATATATTTCTTCCATTGATTACTTTTCGAGATATCTGTCAAAAGTTTTCTTACATTTTTTTAAGAAATCATCTGTTGATAGAAAATTTTTTTGCCCTTCAATACGCTCCTACGAACTGTGAAATTTATTTGTTTAAACAAAAATAATTTGTTGCTGTAATGCAGAGCGCAGACACTCTCCTTTGAATTTTGGAGCTATACAGTCGTTTACACGTATGGCACTTTTCTGGGGCATTTTATGTCTAAGAAATCAATACATATCCATCGTTAATTGTTGATTAAAACAAAAGTTTTATTTGCTTAAACAATCAAAATATTCGATTACTGAATTTGCACGGTTGGCCGCGATGGTCAAAAGTTTGATGCCGACATTGCCGACCGCACTTACTTCGCCATTCCATATTCCATATTCCATGTCATCTAGCGGGGCTTGATTATTGACTCAATCATGCACTCAATGTCTCAAGTCTCAATAACCAAGCCCCGCTAGATGGCACCGCAAACGTAGCTGGTATAGGCGGGCTGGTCATTGTGGAATCTACTCAAGATAACACACGTGTAACCAACACATGGTAAGGATTTGCATGATAATTGTTAAAAATTAGTACTAGTTTTTGACACGGCTATACATTTGTCATTGTGGCAGCTGCTTCTCTCTCAATGTCTCAATCCCTTCTGCTCTCCAACACAAATATACACAAGCAGAAGCCTCCGTACAACTGTCTTCTGAACGTCGTTTCTCTCGGCGAGCTCTCTTTTCAGTCTGTCTTCGGCTTCATCCGAACCAAAAGTCATATAAAAACACGACGCGCTGCAATTAAGTACATTATCATCTCGCATTTTTTATAGGGCTCGTCCCCTCGTCCTTCTCCTCTTCTGTTTTGCGGGATAATTTTTATAGCTGCAGCTGTCTAACAAGTTCTTGTACCTATCTATTGTTCGAAAGAATAAGCCTTAGAGAGCAAGTGTGTCAGCCGTTGACAAATTAGGGCCAACAAACAAAAAAAGAACACCAGTACACATAGGTATATCTAGACAAAAATCGGCTTTTCCGAGGAGGTGGTTTTAATGTGCGGCTCGACGAGTGTTTATAACCTGAAGCAATTGAACCATCAAAGTTCCGTGGCGCTGGCGAAGGCTATAGTCCAGGTAAACGGCCAGCACCAGCTGAAGCAGCAGCTTTGCAAAAATGAAGCTCACCCAGAGGTGCCTCGGCAACATCGTCAAGATGCTCGACTTTTACTCCCAGTTCAACCCTTCGCCCCTCTCGATCAAGCAGTTTATCGATTTTGGTAAGTCCTTGCTTCTCCTCCTCCTCGACGTCTCGTCGCTCCAGGTGACGATTTTCATTGCACACATTACAATCACCTTTAATTTCTTTAATTTAATTCAATTTTTTTCTTTGATTCTAATATAGCGATATGTACGTGTGTCTAAACAATAGCATTGATTTTTGTTTTATTTAAAAAATTTCGTCCCCTCCATCCCTTGACGAAACTGTTATCGGCGTTGACGAAACCTATACCAAAACAAGAGGATTTTCTCTATACCTGTACAGGTGATTCACTCCACTTTCTCCGCCAACTCACGCCTTACACAGTTTGGTGAAAAGACGACCAAGGTTACGGATTTTCTCTTTCCCTAGGGTGTGATTTTCGATAAGTCAAGTTTTCACTTTCGAAACTTCTCATAGATTGGTGAAAATACAAATTCATTTCATGAGTAGGATTCCTTTACTGGAAAAGTTATGGTGGTTAATAAAAGAGTTTTGAAACACCATAAATATACCCTAGACAATGAAATTGTAGATCTTTATTTTTTCGCACCGTAAAGTAGTTACGAAAAAAAAAAAAAAAGTGTCACAAATACATACTGTATACGTAATAATATTACTGAAGTCTCTGCGCGAGATACTTACCTATATACATTATCAACATAAGTACGTACAGAAGGTCCTTATCGATTATTATGTAGTGGTACGGAAAGTGGCGCATCATTGGATATCAAAATAGCGAGGTTCAATCTTGTAATGTACAACATGACATGTTGGAGGAAGGAAATTGCAAAGTTTTCTCTTGTTTCGCGAAGAATTTTTTTTTTTTTTTTTTTGTAGCGTGTGTAGGTAGTTGAGATCGATTTTTTAAAAACAAAAATACTCAATGTTGCATAATTTAAAATGATGAAATCGTTTGAGTTACTTACAGCTAATATTTTTAAACACTCATATATATATAAAACATATTTTTTTATTCGTTGGGTGTGATTGGTTTGTTCGGCGGGCTTTGCAAAAAACCAAATTCACCTAGTTGTAATAATATTTAAAATGAAATAAGTTTACTATGTAAAAACAATGTGAAAAACATTTACACAAAGTGGATATTACATAGGTAAAGTATGATACGTACGTTTGCGAAGACGAAAAAGTGAGGGGAAAATTGTAAGCATAATATGGTTTTATTTTTGTTAAAAAAATAAATAAAATAAAGAAAATCACGTAGGTGGTCGTGTGAGTAAATTTATAAACTTTCTATTGCGCAATTGTTGTGCGGAACAAATTAATCGCGGTATCACGTTGAAGCCGTACCGACGAATAATTTATCTCGTAGACATAGATACGAGCACCCGATTAGAAAAAAAAATTCACCTCTTTATTTACTTAACTCTCATAGCCACGTGGCTTTCACTTGATAACTTGAATTTTTTTTTTTTTATTAACTAGTAAATCTAACTAAAAAATTTGCCAGACGCAAAAAAAAAAAAGATTTTGGGTTCGTTTTTTTCAGTCTTTTTTATCAATCTTTATAAAAATCAAATGAAAACTTGTGAAATACGCTTTGCTCTGTTTTCGAGACGTCGGAGAAAAATTAAAAAACAAATACACTCAGGTTTCATTGTAGAGTCCACCTAGTGCATTACGAAATAAAACTGGCTACCTGAAAAAGTCAGCTGCGCAGATGTTATGATGTTACCCTATACACCAGGTATGATTTCATCGTCACAAACGATACTCCGCAACGTCACTTGCGCACGTGCGTAAATTTTATCTGTATCACGCCCCTCTGGACCTCTGTATACACACGATGTAAACAATAACGACAACAGCACTGTAGGTGTTGTGTATACATTTGGGGTATCTATATGAAAATACGACCCAGACACCGGAAATCCTATATACTTTTCTTTTGTGCGGTCGGTTTTATCTGACGACCTCTCCTTCTACCCTCTCCAAAGAGAAGACGATAACATTTATCAACAATACTCTGAGTAGGTTCATTTACTCATGAAAATCAACGAAAATCAATGTGTTGTACAGTAAAAATGACCTCACGACTTTATTTGGTAAGTTCCAGTTGCTTACACGTTTCCAACCGTGCAGATGATGGTCGGTAGGTGCAATCTGAGTAAATAAAAATATCGCTGTGGATACCCTTGGACTGAAAAAAAAAAAAAAAACTTTATCGATGATTCTTACGTCCACGGGACTTTATATTTTCATACTTAATTCGTATACCTTAAAAAACAAAAAAACAAAAAAAGAGCAAAAAAATAACAATGTGAAAAAAAAAAAAAAAATTGAATAACATCATCAGATTGTCCGCGTCTCTGAATTATTGTGTACTTGAACAAAAATAGTATCGTGCCACAAAATATTCTGGAATCTAACGAAGCTCGCGTCTCTCCTCCTAGCGATACATCTCCCGGCAAGCTATGCATGTCTAATTACTTGAGGCTTTTTTTTGCGCAGACGGCAAAAACACTTCCATAAATTCAATGCTGCGGCGGGAGTTTACGTAACCGGTACTTGAAACCCGCCGCCGCTCCGTACGAACAAAGGTAAACTCGCGGAAATCGCGCCGTGTACGCGTGCACGATCATCCGCTTCGTCTCCGGTTGCTCACAAATAATAAAAAAAAAAAACCTGCGATCGAGGCTGTATCTTTCTAATTATTGTGCATCGCGGCATCAAAACATCAACGGGACTGTCAATGTTATCGTACTCGAACGAGTTTATAAACGACAATTCGATTCAGCATTGAGAATGTTTTTCTCTGGTTATCTGTACCGTTGAGAATACTCGCTAGCTTGAGTCTCGAGAGAAATCTAGTAGCATACGAATGCCAGTTGTATGAGTAATATACTTGGTTTTTTTTTTTTTTTTTTTTCGGCCTTTATTTTTTTTTTTTTTTAATTTTACGATCGATTTGAACCTTAAAAAATTTGATTTTAAAAGACACGTAATTTGATTAATTGAAGCTTTTTTAAAAATAAATGCGTGTGCTATTGGTATTTAAAAAGTTTACATGTTCTCTGTGTGTATTACACAACATATAAATAAAATATAGGTCATTGATTCGTAATAATCAACTACGCAACAACTAAACAAGTATAGGTAGCTACGTGATAGTAAAATTTTGTGCGAACCAATTGAATTAGAATTTATTTGTTTATTTTTGCCATACTACTTGCATACGTCTACATGCAGTTATTTTAAGAAGTGCATGCGGATACGTTGAGTTTACAAAGTCTTGAATTGCGCACGAATTATTTTTGTCAGTTTTATTGGATATACGCTGCTGATATGTGTTTTTAGTAGATATCTCTCGTCATCATCACTTTTGATTGACGTCAATAAAATAGATTCTTCGTAGATACATGATTTTTTACGTTTCTTTTCAAATTAAAGTTTGATTTTTTTTATACAGTCACAAATTTTATGCTATATTGGAATGACTATGACAATAATAAAACATATAATATTTTTAAATTACTGTATTTATTAATTAATAGTATTTTATGTAAACGAGAATGATTCATTTTTATATATTTTTTAAGTAGCAGTGTAACCGACGTGCTATTAGAAGTATTTAATAGAATGTAATGATGTAACGTTGGTAATTTGATTTGTTAATACACGAAATATCAAACAATTGTTTATGAAAACTAAAAGTATATACTCAGAAACACATACAGCTTATACGTATAAACAATTAAAGAATAGTGAAAAATTCTCATTATATTTCCCATTTACATTATTAGATTTTTTTTTTTATTTTTTCATAATTTTATATCATCAAAGAATTATCCGTATCACTCCATCAACTGCACAATTTCACGCGAAGGTCGCACGTGTAGTCAGCATTATACTTTTTAATGAAAATTACAAGCTTTTCCATTAAATGTGCGTTCCCAACAACAACGACGACGACGCCGATGGCTGATACATTTACACATGACTATGAAAAAAAAAAAAAAAAAAAAAACAAAAAGGGTGTTTTGTTTTTTTTGAATTTTTTTTTTTTTTTTTTTTTTTTTTTTTTTTTTATTTCAGGCCTGTAATTGATATTTTTTTCAATTTTATTAATTACTTTTTTACTCATTACGATGGAATATGATACTTCACAGGAGGTATGAATATTTTAAATACGTGCTTATTATTTATTTATTTATTTTTTTTTTTCGTCAACGATGAGAAAAATCTTACAAGAACGACCGAAAGAAGAACCACAACATTACTGATAAATGTAGTCTAAGAGTCAATAGGTCACAAAAAGAATTCAGCTGTTTACTACTGGTTGCTTCGATTGTTTATATTTTGGAGATATTAAATCGCGGGTTCTCCATTGCGAATAACCTACTTTGTAAAGGATTTTTCTTGAAAAAGGTCAGAAAGATACCGCAAAAACGTAAATTTTTTATTTCCAAAGTAGAAAAAAAAAAAACAATAGCTATAGATATTCGTGCAGTTGTATCCGCAAATCCACTGAAAGTATTTGGTTCATTGCCAAACTATACCATTTCAAAATGTATATTATATTGAATTTTTGTTGACGATCCAAGTCATCTTTCACGCGTATATACCTGTAAAATAAGTATACGGAGCACGTAATAATCGATACGAGACTCGAGGATCCGACCTCACAACGAAGAACAACAGGAACTACGTTTACTTGGCTTTTATCTCAAATATTACGTCCGAGGGTATGTCTGCCCGAGTTTGTCGAAAACATGTATCCGCTTAGTCAACGTTCGTTCAATTCTTTGATAAACAAGGCATCGATTATTATTATTATTATTATTATTATTATTATTATTATTATTATTTATGTCTACGCTTTGTTTTTTTAATCCAACTGTTTTTCCGTCAAGGACATCGAATTGTATTGCTTTTTACTCAGAGACTGACAGTGCGCGTAATGTTTACCGATCGCCTACATACGTATATATAATATATATGTAACGGCACGCGCAGATGTTAATCAGGTTTTCGCGTATAAGCACTTGCGCATACGTTTCAATGGATTATTACGACTTGTTTTGTACCTGAAAAACGTGAGTCATCGCGTACAACAACTCGCGATTAACTTTTGACATGAAAATTTCTGCTAATCTCAAACTTGCGATCGGATTAATCGAAGCTAACGAGCTTTAATGACTAAAATAAAAAACCATACCTATACTAATCGATTCTCGTAAAAAGTATGGATACTCTTTTTTCAATGAGTCATTATCAATTGAATTTTATTTTAAAAAGCTTCGAAAGTCGACAAACAGTAGTACAGCAAACTATACTTGTAAAAAGCGCGCACAAAGCCCAACGACGTACCCATACTTTGTTATTTTTTCTCGACAGTCGGAATCGCAAGACACTCGGAGGCATGGCTTATTAACCCACGGATACGAATGAAGCGAGCCCACAAAAGTCAAGCACCGATTGGCGGAGCGTATATCGGGCCGATAGCAATGCTTTCGAGAATTTTTTCATAAGTACGTATACACTTAAAATACGTATGACTCGAGTCTCTTGGGAGTCTCTTTCTGCGTATGTGATATTCGGCTTATCTAGGAAGGGGACTTTTCGTATTTTCGTATTTGCCAGAGATAGGATCAAGCCGCGGAAACATTGATCAATGAGGTCAACACGTGCGAGTAACTTTTGTTTTTTCGTTAACATGAATTTTACTTACTTCATCAAGTGTTTGTCTACGGTATTTTGCAACTTTTGTTCGGAAAAAAATCACATAAAAACAAAATTAATGAAAATAATATGGGTATCTATAATATAGTAGTTTTCCTACGAGTTTGAAAAGTCTCTGTTTGCGAACCGAGAGGTTTGCGGCCCGAGCCAAAGGCGAGGGACGTAACGAGGTTCGTGAAGGAGACTTTTTGAACGAGTTCCGGAAAACTGCTTTTTCGCCCGAGGGAGTACCAGCTTCCCAAAACCGCCCGAGGGCGGAAAAATTTTTTTTTATGATTTTTTTTCTTTACCAACACTGAAAGGCTCATTCACTATTTTCCATTACCTATCAGTACATGGACCTTTTTTTATTTTATTCCGTACTCGCCCGTCACCATATTTAATAGATTATGATATCTGATGTGGAGTAAAGTAATAGTTGGTATAATGACTGTGTAAAAATAAAATGGAAAAACCCCATGAAACGATATAAAAAACCTTATGCTTTGTTATCGATCAATCGGCTTCAAATATATGCGGATGGTAATGTTATGTATTAAAAGTTATAAAATATACATCGATTATAAAATTCATCACATTGTTTTAAAGTGTGCTTGAAATATTAATATTTGGATAATCAATTCAACTTCTTGTTAAAATAACAAAAAATTTTTGTATACTTTTTTCTCCAAATAATTTCTTCAAAAAAACCAACCGTGAACAAAATATTATCTACCATCTATTATTTTTGAATATTAATTGTGGATGGATGTAATTGGAATTGGATTGACGTAAAAATCAGATACTGTAGGTTCGTTGACTCTGTTATTAAATTTTTCGTATTTTTACGAAACCTTTCTCGCGTCTGTAAAATAAGTCAAACAGAAACTGTTATGGAAAATTTCTCGCATTAAATTTATCATTTCAAATTGTGTACGAAAAAAAAAAAAAAAAAAAAATCAATACAAATACACAATAGGTGGTATGTAGTTTAGTCGGTAAATATAGATCCCGCAATAACACTTTCGTGTAAGACATGAGGTGTTGAAGAAATGCGTGTAAAAGGCGATGATGTTAGTTTGAGGCACAAAAGTAAAATTAACGTTGCTTATTAAATTTTTTTAAGTACATAATTTTTTTTTTTTTTTAATTTTACGATCGATTTGAACCTTAAAAAATTTGATTTTAAAAGACACGTAATTTGATTAATTGAAGCTTTTTTAAAAATAAATGCGTGTGCTATTGGTATTTAAAAAGTTTACATGTTCTCTGTGTGTATTACACAACATATAAATAAAATATAGGTCATTGATTCGTAATAATCAACTACGCAACAACTAAACAAGTATAGGTAGCTACGTGATAGTAAAATTTTGTGCGAACCAATTGAATTAGAATTTATTTGTTTATTTTTGCCATACTACTTGCATACGTCTACATGCAGTTATTTTAAGAAGTGCATGCGGATACGTTGAGTTTACAAAGTCTTGAATTGCGCACGAATTATTTTTGTCAGTTTTATTGGATATACGCTGCTGATATGTGTTTTTAGTAGATATCTCTCGTCATCATCACTTTTGATTGACGTCAATAAAATAGATTCTTCGTAGATACATGATTTTTTACGTTTCTTTTCAAATTAAAGTTTGATTTTTTTTATACAGTCACAAATTTTATGCTATATTGGAATGACTATGACAATAATAAAACATATAATATTTTTAAATTACTGTATTTATTAATTAATAGTATTTTATGTAAACGAGAATGATTCATTTTTATATATTTTTTAAGTAGCAGTGTAACCGACGTGCTATTAGAAGTATTTAATAGAATGTAATGATGTAACGTTGGTAATTTGATTTGTTAATACACGAAATATCAAACAATTGTTTATGAAAACTAAAAGTATATACTCAGAAACACATACAGCTTATACGTATAAACAATTAAAGAATAGTGAAAAATTCTCATTATATTTCCCATTTACATTATTAGATTTTTTTTTTTATTTTTTCATAATTTTATATCATCAAAGAATTATCCGTATCACTCCATCAACTGCACAATTTCACGCGAAGGTCGCACGTGTAGTCAGCATTATACTTTTTAATGAAAATTACAAGCTTTTCCATTAAATGTGCGTTCCCAACAACAACGACGACGACGCCGATGGCTGATACATTTACACATGACTATGAAAAAAAAAAAAAAAAAAAAAGATTAAAATACTGAGAGACCTTTTGACCACGCCATACAATAATATGCATACAATTCAGAGCACAATATGACCTCTTCTGCTAAACGGAAAAAAATAATTATATTATTTTAAAACCACAACGCATTCGAGAAATTCTAGAAAGTAGTCTCTATATTCGATCGATTAATATATCCTCTGAAAACCATAACTCGCAATTTATCTCTGCAAGGATTACGCAACAACCTTCCAACGTTATTGCCATTTGATTAAAAAAAAAAAAAAAAAAAAAATATTGATAGTCGTAAGGGAATAAAAGCACTTTGAAAATTGATTGAAAATTGTGTAGTGATCCAAAAATAAAAATAAATACTTGGATAAATTAATCATCCAATCCTTCGTCATTTCACGGCTGGTTTCGTTTCTCTTCTGTACTCCCTTGTTCTCTTCGCGCAGATAACTACTAGATTAGCTGTCCTCTGTACTTTATTCAAGATGCATGTGCACACGAATGTGCTTTCCATATATACGTCTCGCTCGTGTACGTACTTCATTTCGTCTATCGTTTCACTTTGTTCATCAACGAAGTTATTTTCTGAGCTGTGATAGAAATATCTGTATACATTCTGTCACAACATTTCCGCATTATGAGAGGCATGTTGTATGGTTTGCGGTTTTCTTGATTTCGCACACGAAAAAAAAATTAAGTGTTAACACAATCAACTCGTTACGACGACAAACAGATAAGAACGTAATTTTGAATTTAAGCCTATTTATCAACCTAATGTTAATTATTTCTATCAGTATACATATTCGTATTGTAAAATATTTCTCTTTTAATTGTCTAATCACCTAAACTTATATTTATAAACATTCCAAAGATTTTAATTATAAATAAAATATCTGGTGTAAAGTTTAAACATCACTGTTTTATCACGAAAGAGCAATCATTATTTTTTAAATCTATTTAAATAAAAAATTAGGTGATACGTTTTAATAAAAATTATTTTTTCGTAAAGTAAACAATGATATTAGAAAAATTATTACTCAAGCCAAACAAGATTAACTTGATTAAGTATTAACTTGATTTAAGTTTGTAATTATTATACATTTCCATGTTCATAAAATTGAATTTCTTTTGTAAATTCTTAAAATTGTTACAAAATCGACGAACCGCACATTTGTACAGTTTTTGTACAGTTCGAATTTTTTTATTAGAAAACTGTATTTTAAGGTGATTTAGAGCCTCGGATTTTAAATATAAAGAAATGTCACCGCTAAAAATGAAATTTAACATACGCAGATACGACGTGGTATATTAGTTTTAGTGATACATTCATATGCATTTATTTTTCATTTTTATAAAATAAGTTTACATCGAGGATTAAAGCTAAATTATTTTTTATCACTTTCAACTAATTGGAGCAAATTGTGGAAAATAGTATCGTTGTAACCCTTGTGTATGATGTAAAAAAAAAAAGAAAAGATGATAAACTTGTACTCGAATCGAATTTTCCCCATTTCAGGACTTAGTGCATGCCAGAGAAAGTCTTTCATTTTCCTGAGAAAAGAACTTCCTGTTCGCCTGGCTAATATCATGAAGGAGATCCATCTTTTGCCGGAGAACCTCCTACGCATGCCTAGCGTTGGAATTGTAAATAATTTTTACGCCACTTCTTTCGAAGAGATTATACGCTTTGAAAAGGCCGACGTTAGCGAGAGCACCTTGGACAGGTGAGTTGGTAATATTTATTTACCTTCTTCCTTTTTAAATGTCAAAAAAATCACGCGCACACGAATTTTCGATTACAGATTTTGCGAGGCTCTAGTTAAAATTAGAAACCGACACACTGACGTAGTTCAGACAATGGCTCAGGGAGTCCTAGAGTTGAAAGAATCTCACGACGTGGACGCGCAAACGGAGAACAGCATCCAATATTTTCTCGACAGATTTTACATGTCTCGGATCTCGATAAGAATGCTCATTAATCAGCACAGTAAGTAACATTCACGCCGTTAACTAAATTTTTTTTTCTCTGTTACGTAATAAAATTGAAAGTACAAACATTTTGAATTATTTTTGTTTTTATTTTAGCGTAGGAATTTTTTTCTTTTTAAAACATTTATTGCAGCGGTTGTTAAAAAATAAAAATAAAATTTCCGTCTATCTTTCGTGCACGAGTCAGTAATTGACTGTACTGTACACTCTAGCACGTAGGGCACGTAATGTATATTGGTTTCAATTGAATGATGAGCAAATGCAAGTGCGGAACTGTTGAGTCTATTAAACTAAATGAGCGAGTGATTGCGCAACTTTTCCGACTCGATTTTCACTCGAAACTTGCAAATTTTTACTGTACCCTAAAAAAAAAATTCATTATTTACTTGACGCTCAACAATTATTGGTATGTTTTTATAAATTGTACCGAAATTCATAACGTCAAAAAATAAAAAAAAAACTCATTTGCAGTAACGATAAAAAACATCCAAGCAACGTATGATAGTAATTGCGATACTATCTGATTTTCGATGTATTCTTATCAAACAAATAAAACGAACGGCTCAAATTATTTTGAAGAAGTGCCAAAAAAAAAAAAATATTTAAAAATTCGTTTGGTTTTTAATTTGTTCCAGCATTGTTGTTTGGTGGTGTACTGAACGACAACAACATGCAAATTGGTTGCATCGATCCGAGCTGTAACGTCATCGGAGTCATCAAAGATGCCTACGAGAACGCCCGCTTCCTCTGCGATCAGTACTACATGGCCAGTCCTGACCTCGTGGTCAAACAACACAATGGCAAGTCTGCTTTTAAATAAAGCCATGCGTTGATTGCGATAATTAGTATTCCTTTTGTCAAAATATTGTTCAGCATGACCTGAAAAAAAAGAGACCATCCATTCTAAAAAATGTATACTATTCAAGTTTCTGAATGATATTTAAACGTATGGAGACCACAGCTATTAATTATCGTTGAATTTTATTCATCTACGACTGCGGTTTTTATAGAATCTACGTTTTTTTGTCTTATAGATCCTGGTGATGTAAAGATAGTTTACGTGCCTAGTCATTTGTATCACATGCTTTTCGAGCTGTTTAAAAACAGTATGCGAGCGGTGATGGAGCATTGCGGTTCCGATGCCGATAACTACCCGCCATTGGTGGTCACTGTTGTTCGTGGTAAAGAAGACGTATGCGTGAAGGTACGTTTTCTCAAACATATTTCCATGGTATAAAACAAGATATAAAATATTTAAACAACATTTAATTTCCAGATGTCCGATTTGGGTGGTGGTATTCCCCGTTCACAGATAGATCACTTGTTTAAGTACATGTACAGCACAGCACCCCAGCCCAGTAAGTCTGACGCTCACACGGTGCCACTTGCTGGGTATGGCTACGGTCTTCCATTGTCGCGATTGTATGCGCGATATTTTCATGGCGATTTGGTTTTGCTCAGTTGTGAAGGCTACGGCACAGACGCTGTCATTTATTTGAAGGTAATTTTGTTTTGTTGAAGCGTTTATTTACTTATTTATTTATATATTTTGTAACTTTTCTGCAATTGATAAATTTGTGTATTTTTAGGCTTTGTCGAACGAAGCTAACGAATTACTTCCAATATACAACAAAACCTCATCAAAGTTTTACAAAACTCCTCTGCCAGTTGCCGACTGGAGTAGCCAATGCGGAAACAGCATGGCAACTAGACAAATGAACATGAGCCAAAATCAGGGTCATAGGCTACCGAACGGCCTAAAAGCAAGCCAGTGCTAGCGAAGCGCCATTGATCTTGTTGATCATTGACTGACTGATACGTATTTAATCTATGGATGTGTTAGAAATTTTTTATATTCTGTTATTCGGAGTTTTTAACATATAATTCTCTTGGTTTATGTCACAGCATTGAAATTTCACGAATATAACGATTCGTTGCACATGCTTTTATTCTACTTTTATCGACTGAACTTCTTTTTTGAAAAATTGAATTTCAGCTCAGTAAATCATGTTATTTTCTACCTTGTATATCCAAAACATACCACTATTTTTTATTTATACAAATTCACGATGATTTCAAATTTTCATGTAATTTGAATATATTTCAAAGTAAAATGTAATGTCGTTATTTTCAAGTAAGTGTTAGTAGCTATTTTGTGTTAACTGTTGGTATTATCGTCGACGAAAAATCATTGTCATTATTCTTGTAATTTAAGAAAGATGAAACCACTTGCGATTGGTGGATTATAACAAACATGTAATAATTAATCACTGTGATTGTAAGATGTTTATTTATGTTGAAAAATGCTGTCTGCAACCTTGCATAGGTAATTTTATGTAAATTATCTGTTTTGATGATTGATTTATACATGTATAAGAGAATACAATTTTATTTTTTACTTTTTTAAATTATAACAATGTATCTTTTTATTTCACATTTAATAGATAAAAAACAATAAGAAAACAAATTTCCCTCAGCAAGATTTTACAACTTATTTTAGTATTTATATGTACTAATTTATTATTTTATATTTATTTGCTTATCTAATCAAATCTACATAAAAATTCTTAAAACCCTTAGAAAAATCTAAGTTCTTAAGAAATAACTCGAATTTACTCATATACTTTCACTTACTGCAGCTTATTGCACTATTTATTGTCCCAGTTTTTGTTAAATTTTTAAGTTTGTTAAAAACATACAATCATTTCGTTTATTTATTGAGAGTTTAAAATTGCTTTTATAAATATATGACAGCGATCTTCAATAAATAAAAATCATTATTTTACTACAGTATCAAGTACATTTTTTGGTGTTATTTTTCCTAACGTACATCATAAAAATTAATTAGACTGATCGGAAATTTGACAAAACATCGTGATTTGTAAATTAATTTTTTTCACCATACAAAACTTTTACAAAATAATATAGCACAAAATTTAACTATATTAAAGTGATGGAATCGTTAAAAGTATTCGGACAGAATATGCGTACTAAATAGACATTTAAAATAAACTATCGCTCTGGAAGCGATTATTGACGATTAAAAATAATTTTAGCTTTAAAAATTAAACACGTACTTCTTATGATGTAAATCCAAGCGTATCGTTTCGGATTACTGACAACTGATACACAGTTATCAGAAAAGTAAAAAAATTGTGACACGCTTTGAGATGAAAGCGTTACTTACCAATTTATCATAATGCGCACTTTCTTAGTGTTCATGTAGTCTATAATTATATATATCTGTTCCTAAACAAAATAACGAAAATTACAAAATCATATGTATGTTTAGTGAATTACATTTTTACGTAAGTTCATTAAATATATTTTTTTTTACACAAAATGTTCTTCGTGCTTAATTTGTAAATGTACAATTTCTCTATTTATATTCAAACTTATAATTAAATTACATATCGATACATAAACAAAAATGTTTTTCATAATTTGATACATAGCTTCTCCGAAAAATCTTCGACAAAAATTAGATTGCGCCTTACTTAATACTGTTTTATTTCCTTCTTCATACCGATTGCTACCTCAGAACTTTTCGTTTTTTTTTTTTTTTTTTTTTTTTTTTTTTTCTTTTATTTCAAATATATTTCGAATTTCAATGAAGTGTCATTATTGGTAAATTAGTTCTGTAAACAAAGAACGTTGTTTAAAATATGCTTGACTATAAACACATACTCTATTGTTATTTCTAAAAAATAGCTCTTATATATACTAATGTGTTTCTATACTATACTTATAAAGTCAAAGCTTTTACTCAAGAAATTTAGACACACCTGAGGCTTAAACACAGATAAAAAAGATAAGCCACCAACAACAAGTGTAAACGGTGATAAACTTCAACGCTGGCTTATCGCATTGCACTTACCTTTCGTATAAATATAGTTTTTGCTCAGTAGTCGTAAGCATATTTTTAAGTTAGAAGAAACAAAAATATACTTATAAAAGTATATTGGTATTTTTTTTTATGTTTCGTGTAAATAAAATTAATAAAAATACAACAGAGTATTGACAAAGCATTAATTAACAGTTGATATTCAATGACGTCAGAATCTCTTTCGCAAAAGGTATTTTTTTTATTTTATGACTTTTAATGCAAATAAGATCAAACTACTTATTCGTTTTATAAGTTGTATAAAACTACAAATTTATTAACATCAATTGTCTAATGAGTATGCAGTTATTTTTTTATATATTTCAAACATATATTTGAGTTATTTTCTAACCTCCAATTAACTTCAATGAACACGAATCACATAATTTTTATTTTCTTTTTGACATTTTTTCCGAATTAAGATGTGTCTTTTTAGACGTGTGTAACTGTGTACATGCATATACATACATATATTATATACACACAACTGCTGTAACAGCAAGAATCCAATGATAAAATATAGATACCTTATTAATGTTTAGTAGTTAAATTCAGTAAAAAATAAAATGAAAATTCAAAATGTTTTGTTTTTCATGCTTAAAAACAAAAAATACTTTAGTTTTTTAAATACATGTTAAAACTCAAATATTTATGTTGTAGTAGTACTGTATGTATTAATACTTGAATGAATAATTTTTAGTGGTTCGACGATTTTGAAAAACACACAACCAAAGGTGATAATGAGAAAATTTTTAATTCATTGGAAACCATTTTAGTACCAAGTGCTTATGACAAAGAAGGTAATGGCTTGTTGCATTACACCGCGAAAACAAACAACAAGTCCATACTGGTTCATTTGTTGTCGGTCGGTTGCGATGTAAACATTCAAAATCAGAAGAGAGAATCGCCCCTTGTGATTGCGATACTTTCCAATAACGCAGAAATCGTAGAAATACTTTTGGACGCGGGAGCCGATCACGTAAATACCAATTTTTATGGTAACTTTGGCCCACTGCATTTTGCCGCCGAGAGGGGCTACGCCGAAATTATTAAACTACTTTTGAAAGCCGGAGCGGACGTGAAAGCTGTCAATGTCGGACGACGTACGGCTTTGCATATGGCAATTGCAACAGAATACAGTACAGCAGTTTTTCAAATTCTTATTATCCTTATATTCATTTATAGCCGTAGATCATAATAAACTTTCAATTTTAATTGTGGACAAATTTTTGTTAGGGATGATTATAAACTATTATTAAAAATCAATTTCATAATTTTCACAACTTTTTTTTACGTGTATAAAGTACACTTCATAGTGGGAAAAATCGATATTAGCAAACAACAAAATTGTGTACTTCTTTTGAGTAATTTTAACGGTCACTGCATGATATATTCCCCTTTAAAGTGACGAGTTAATTCAAAGTCATCAAGAAACGTTTTCCTACGTCATTCTCATGTCATCGATGAATTTTCATTCCCAGAGGATGACTCGACTTGCCGCTCGGAGGCCGTCAGGGCGCTGATCCACGCCGGTTCGGATGTGAACGCGAAAGACGATTCAGACGAGACTCCACTTCACTGCGCCGTCAATTACGACCGAAGCGACGTTCTGGAACTGCTGTTGGACGCGGGTGCTGACGTCCAAGTGCCGGATTGCCCATGTCCACCTTTACACCTGGCGATAGAGAGGAACAAGCCACATTTGGCCAAACGACTCGTCGAAGTTGGCACCAACGTCAACAACTGGAGGGACCAAGAGGCCAGGACATTTCTACACTTGGCCGTGGCTTCGGCGAAGCCCGCGATGGTGAAACTTCTTTTGGAGGCCGGAGCCTCCGTCGACGTCTGCGACAAAGACGATCTCGATCCGCTCTGTTACGGATTAAAGACGCGCAGCGCTGACCTGAACAAACAGATGTCCTCGAGGTTCAACAAAGGCCGGCACGACGACTGCGACCACGACATTGAAACTCTTTACCCCAACCTTGTAAGTGTTCATTTTAATTTTGATTTGTGGATGGTTGTTTTTTTATCAAATGTCCCGATCTCCCGTAGCTTCACGATCAGACGGAGTGCACGAGGTTGCTGCTGAAACACGGGAAAAACATCAACCGAGTGAACAAGAGTGGCCTGACAGCTCTGCTCGTCGCTGTCCAGGACTGCAATCACAGCGAAGTGGTGCGTTTTTTGTTGGAGAATGGGGCAATTTTCGACCCCAACCACCCGATCGTACGGGACGTTATATTGAGCGAAAACGGTTCCTCGGTTCCTTACCTCCTGTTGCGACACGCGGCTCTGTTCGAAGCGCAAAATCCAAAGGGTGGATCATTGAACTTCGAGGTCAGAAGAGCTTTGAACGGGTATCGGTTGGGGAAGCATCGCGAGAAGTGTAAGCAGGAGTTGGAGTCGATGAAAAACTCGTGGATCTACGGCTCAGTTTCGTTTTTCAGTGTACTCCTTCGGGACAAAGATATCGGACCGTACGTCCGAGACGAGCAGCTTGACAAGGCCTTCGTGAAGCAGTTTGCCGAGAAGAAATTTCCAATTTATTGCGATTTGTTGGTGGAAAGGTTCGACAGGTTGATGGAGATGCGAAGGGGCAACGCGAATAATAATTGTACTGTTATGTGAAAAATTTTTACTTTACATTTTTTTTTGTGTATCATAAGATTCGTTAAATTGTTATTACTTTTATTCTTTAAGCCAAGTTTTTCCTTTTTTTATCGTTATCAATATTCTTAACTGTATGGCATAAGTTGAATTACAAGTGGAAATGAAACTAAATGATCACAGTGTCATTTTAAAATTAGATCACTCGAAAAACCCTTTAATTTTTGTTTTTGCAAAATATTTCAACGGAAAAGAGGCGAATGATTCACCTTAACCACAAGGATCTAACAACGGATCCTTAATTCTTGACCTATTATTGATCAAGGCACGTGGCTCTACTTCAAGCACCAGGTCATAATACCGGATTTTTTAATTCGGAGATTGAAAAAGCTTTGGAAGAATGTTATTTAGTATAAAACGAAAGGACAAAAATATCGATCACGAGCAGCTCGACAAGGCTCTCGTGAAGCAGTTTACCGACGTTTATTAGTGGAACGGTTTGATAGGTTGATAAATTTGCGAAAATTCAAGGTTCAAGTAAGACCAAGTTAACAGCATACTTGAAAAATCACTTTCCTTTTTCTTCACAATGAATGTTTACAAAAAGATTTGTTTAACTGTTTACTAGTATCAATTTGTACAAAGATTTATTTTTATAAAATTATGTCCAATAATTTAAGCAGTCTTATTGAGTAATAATTTTGATTTTAAACGTACAAGTCACTAATCAACTCGCCATTGTTAAAGCAAACCTTATGAAAACTTTTAATGTTGAAAAGAAACAGGCATTGCATGTTTAATCGCATTATGGGTAAAAAGAAATTAAATAAATAAAATAAATTTCACCTCAAAAAAGATAATCCTCCATCAACTATTTAAAAAACGTGGAAAAAAGATCTAAAAGATTTCACTTTAAAGCCACATATCAAAACAGGTAATAAATATTATTTGCTTTCAGTCAGTCCAGCAGACTAGGAAACTAACACTTTATAAATGCAATTTCAACAAAAATGATCGTAAAAACTCTTCTGTGTCGGTCAATGGCATATGTACAATGAATATTATAAACACCGTGGATTGCTTAATGGCTGCTACAATTCATCGTGTAATTCTTCACCAAGTAAGACTTTTTGCACCTTTTGCAGCATTTCCTGGTTGTGATAACTTAAATTTGTACCATCTTCGCCTTTGACAGGGAAATCGTGATATAGAACAAGCATCTTTTGAATTTCAGTCAAAAGATCCTTTTTTTTAAGAGCAAGCTCTTCTTTACAAAGTTCGCTTAAAGTTAACATACTATCATATATAACTTTGTGAAAATCATCAATTCCAGATTTCACTCGTAAACTCCTTAGTGCTAGATCTACTAAATTTTCGCAGTATTTTTGCTTGACAATATTGTTCTCAAAATCAATTAAGTCATAGTCGTTTGTTCTGTGTATCCTTTGCTGCTCATCTCGAATTGCATGCAGTTTTTCTTTTCTTTCAATGGCCAAATCATTTACTAAATTCATTACTCTGATTTGTACTTGAGAATTTCCGTCCATTAAAATTTCCCCAAATATCTCAAAGCCTCCGTTGTTAACAAAACTCTTCTGTGCGGCAGGGAATTGACGTATCAGAGCTCCAAGAGCAAATAAACATCTAGATTTTATTGTAGCCTTGCTATTATTTATCGTAAGCATGTACAATATTTTCTGAACAAAATCATTTTCTAGTGCCTTTAACTGAACTTTTGGATTTGACTGGACTGCAGTACCCAGTAATCTTAAAGCTTCAGCCTTTATGTCAGTATTCGTACTGTTTAAAGACGGAGAAACTACCTTCATCATCCTGAAAATAAGTATTTCCAAATGTAGAAAAATTTTTTAAGTAATTTCGTAAGAATCTTAAAAGTACATACCCTCCCATATCTGCAAACAATCGTGCATTATCAATTTGATGTAGAAGGTACTCCATATCATTTAGGATACCCAGTATATCATCGATTTTTTCTGTCTCAAGATTTTCTGATGTAATAGTTTCTTTGTAAGGCTGAAATTGTTCAAATAAACTTGTAAGTACTTCAGCATCAGTGGAGATGTTCATACTTAAACTCTCTAGCTGTTCTTTCAATTCTGAATAACTTCTGTACTCTTTTTGTACAGCTGAATGAACTTGTTCATTCTAAAAAAAGAATAAAACGTAATCATTAGATAGGTCTGGGAAAAAAAATTTTTTTTAATGCAGCAAATGTTAAACTTACCGCAGTTTGTATTAGCTCATCTGCCTCATCTGATTTTATTTTCTTCAACATGGCCTTTAATTCGTCTAAAGGTACTTTTGTTTTCTCACTTTGTGCATCCTTTGTTGCTTCTTGCACGTCTTCATCCCTTACTGACTTTTCTGGGTGCAATGTCAAAGAGTTTTTTTTACCATCTCTATGTATGTTTTTTGAACTTGCATCCTTTTCATTTTCATCCAGCAATTTTGCTTCTACTACTCCAGATTGTAAATTATGCCGGATGTGTAGGCCAGGAGGGATGGGAGTTCCTGAAAAGTGAAAAAAAAATGATGCAATCGTGAAAGGTATCAAAATGTTACTAGAACAAAAATATTTTATGTTAAATGTTACATCCTTATGGAGATTAAAAAAAAACATACTTATTGGTATCCGAATTTTTAGCAGATCTTTGAATAGACTACGACTTGTTAGACAAATGCGATTTAAAAAGAACTCACCTTTTGGCACAATCTGCCATTCCTTGGTAGGAATGAAAACAGTGTCGTTGATTTTCGTATCAGTGGCAATAGCGAAGCTGCAAATCGCGAGGTAACTCAATGTAAAATGCCAATACGTCATATTCGCGGGTGAAAGCTGTGCTTGAACGAGATCTACGCTGCTCAAAACTCTGAAAACAGAGCACTAGAGAAACTATAGAATATTTATTAGTATAAGTACTTGTCGTTTGCTACAAGCGAACTGGTACTGTAGATTAACTTTATACGTATAAATAAGTGTTAGTAGCCGGCTTGAGAAAAACTGATTTACCATATTCATTCATTAAGTCTTACGTGGTCTTTCCCGACTGGTAAGAGTTGTGAGTATGAGGAAGAGGTATGTACCTATATATATGAGGGTAGGCTCGTATATTACCTTTTACGATGTGCTCATATACTTATTTACATTTTAAGCGGCACTCTATACTTGCATTTTATCAGATTGCGTGGTTTCGATGATTAAATTATGTTCTTTCCAACATTGAAAGCCATAAAATTAAGAAGGTACGTATAAGTATACTTATACACCTTAAAATTACAGATAAGTATTTCGGAGTTCGTTTACAAATGAAAAAAAATTGAATTCATGTAGATCAGCGCCATCTAGCCTTTTCAATTTCGAACTAAAAAGTACTCCTACATACTTACGGTAAGTAACTTACCTACTTTTCACAAAAAACCGAGACAATTAATACCGCTAGATGGCGCTGATCTACCCAAATGCACTATATATATAGACAGCTCTAGCCATCAACTATATAGCCTAAAGCGTATGTATATGTATAGCCTTAGCCTCCAGTAAAGCATCATCCATAGTCCATGTCAGATTAGAGGGAATCTGGGGAATATACACGACATCTTTTAGATCTTATAGCTAAGAATTGGACATTTCAATGGTAGGCTTGGTTGTCTTGTTCTCAACCCGTTCGTACGAGTAAGTTATCACGCGAAAAGAGTTAAATGAGCCTTCACGACAGCTTATTCGCTGAGGATGCGGAGGACGATGTGAAGCACTTTTTGGAAAGCAGCGAACAGCGCAAGAGGTGCGTTTTGAGACTTCGTTTTAACATAGACATAGTATAATATCATTGTAAGTACAGTAATTCAAGTATCTCATAGCTAATAGGTCATCAATTCATGCTACTTACGGTCTATCATTCGTGTTTTTTCATTTTTACAAGCTCAAGATACGTTTACCTGATTTTATTTTATTTCTTTTAGCAATGTCTAAAAAATAGCTTTGTTACTGTAGCAATTGTACTTGAGAGTTCATGCGCCTAATGTTAATTCTCTTTGAAAAAATACATTTTATTTCACAACTTGCTATGCTTACAAATTCAGATGAATTGGAGATAAACCCAAAACAAATCAAGTATGTTTTTCTTAGTTGCAAAGATGAACCTAACCTTGTAGGTATTCTTTTTTTCTTTTTACTTGTTCTCGTGTGTACATTTTCTCATGCACTTTTCAAGAGGAATTTCGCAAATTGTTTGATGTTTTTTGTATAGAAAGGAGGCTAAAAATGCTCTTCAATTTCACGAGAAACGATTAATCGTGTGGATATTGCGTCTCGAGTATATAGAACTGCTCGCGGTTAGATTATTTTTATGCTGCGGATTCAAAACATAAGTACTTTGTTTAGTTCAGAAATGTACACGCCCGTGGCCCTGGTGATATTTCTGATTCGCTTTCAAGCTCTTACAAGTTCATGTGACAGTAAGTTACGTTAAGAAGTTTTTATATTCACGTAAAAATTCGTCTTAAGAAATGAAAGTTAAATAATTTTAATTGAAGGACAATTTTTATAGCAATTTTGTCAACAATTTAAATGCATTCAATCGTTTAACTTAGTCACTTGGTCATTACTTAACTTTTTACGTAGGTATGGTGTAAGTTAATAACAATAAAATGTAAATAATTTTGAGAATCTTCTTGAACAGAAATGAGAAAATTAGAAATTTTTTGTTCTATTGTTAGCCAAGTTCAAAATCTACAAAAAGTTTGCACAATTATGTTAATTGATAATTATTTTAATTGGATTACTTATAATAAACGCAGCTTCACACAAAGTACTTACCCATGATCTATATTTTACTAAAAAAAACTCATGTAACACAATCAGTTAAAAAATCGAGCACCTGCTTAGCAGAAAACTTGAAATTCAAACCTCATTTGTTTCGAAATATTGTATAACACGTAAATAAAAAATTAATCGATTTTTGTTGAACATTGAACGCAAAAGATCATGAGTACCTTTAACGTTCTACGTTACACTAAAAAACATTGCAAAATACATAGACAGCTGCACATAATCTCATTGGAGCATTCATTTTGCAAGTGTAGAAGAGAAGGGTCAGAAGGGTATAAAAACAGAGGTGATAGGGAAAAGAAAAAAATATGTTACGTGTAAGACTTCGTAATAGATCAAAGCGCACACACGCGGGATATCCCGTCGAAAGTGAAAGTTGTGCTCTCTCACCGTCCGCGTGTGCTGTACTTATATGATCTCTTTGTTACATAAAAATAATACTTATTGGGTTCTGAGTTCTGACCTCCGTTGAGGAAGTCTGTAAAGTGCGCGAAAGGCCATCATCTCAGAAGTTGTCATCACCTGAAGGCCACGAATAAAATTTTTCAAGCAGAACACAAGCCCTTTCTGGTAGTTGTTTCTAATTCAATTATTGTTGCTCTGTTTGGCTATTTTTATTGTTGGAGAAAAAGAAAAAAACTGTTTTTAATTTCATTTGTGGCAACTAAAATAATAGTTTTCGTACCTGGTGGCGCATGTCGCCAGGGCAAGCACGAGACCCGAGAAACTCCTTGTGCTTGTCCCTAGTTGGATGCGCACCAGGTGTGAACCCTATTTTTCCTACGAAGAGCACACCCGACCCTCAAAAACGCCCAAGGTATAGGAAAATTTAATTTTATGTGAATGTAGGTAAAAGAAAAATCGTTTTTGTTGCACGTCAAAATTGAAAAACAAATCATTTTATTTATTGTGTGACGAAAACAAACAAAAAAAAAAAAAAGATTCTCGTGTGTATTTTACTTCTTAAACAATCTTTCTTCTTACATTTCAGGGTACTGATTTTTCCACCAGTCAACAATTATCGGCGCTTTCTTATTCATCAACTGGTACAGGATCGCTTTGGTGATTTGCTACAAACGTTTTCGATTGGCCAAGGTATTGACCGCAGGACCGTCGTTTGCTACAAGTCTGATTTTATTGGGTAGACAACTCTTTTTTATGCATATGTATATTTGCCAAAAAGCCAAACCTGCTGGATTAATCCCGTGTATATATAAATGTATGTGCACATATTATCATGTGCATCTAATTTCTACAGAGTAGGTGTACACATGCACTTTCCAACCGAAGCAGTAGTAAATAATTTTACTTTTGTATACTACATAACAATGAGATTCCATGTATTGTCGGTAGCTTTAAGATAAAGACTAAATACATGTTTATACATTAAGATTTATTGCGTACTTGACCTGTTATATGCCTTCAAGTAAATAACAGAGTTGTTTATGTCTTATCATATTTATTAAAGTAAATTTTCTTATTTACGCAGAATTTGATGATTAGGTCATCTTTCCCGGCATCTCTCAGACATTTCATCCATCGAGTCACTACAGTGCTCATCAAGTAATATTTTATAAAAAAATTCTACTTGTACCATGCTAACAAGCAATTTTTCGTTGAAATTTTCCACTAGGGTAACATTTTAAAGCACCTCTGTAATCGCTAATATTCTATATCTTTAAAGTAACTTGGTTTTGGTTGGATTGGCTAGTGTTCTCCCTTGTTCCTTTCCAGTTCCTTGCTGTTCCTTTCCTATACTTTCATCGCTAAATTATAATTAATCTCTCAGTACGTAAGTAAACCCTTTTGGCTTTGTAATTGAGTTTCAATCCAGACTTCACTCGAGCAATACACCAGTACTTTTTTCCAGGACACCACCACAACTCGATGGTATTACATTGCAAAGAGGAAACAATATCGTCCGCAAAATCTATTGCACTATGGGAATTGAAAGCCAGTGTTCGCCCATGGCGTCACCAGAGCACAACATTCAGCGACCAAAACAAGGTATGCCAATATCGCAATTTACCTGTCGTTTTATAAAAAAAACTAGTTTTATGAAAAATTTATTTATTTATTTTATTTTTTTCTTTAATTTTATCAGTGAAGACATCTCCTTCGGTGGAAATATACGTGCCACCAGCTTTAAGACGAACTAAAGTGGAAAAATCACCAGCTCGACCAACATCGGTCGAACTTACACCAACTACGGAAACTTCCGTAAAGTAAGTTTGATTTTCGTCACGCACCATTGATTGCTAGTAAACCCATTTTCCTTTTCATTTCAGATCAAATCGACAAAAGCGACCTGATCGCGCGGTGTACGTTCCTCGACATCGCCGTAGTATAGCTGAAACAGACAGCAGCAATGTTTCCGCTACCGAGACTCACTCGAAGTCGTCGTCGAAAGAACAGCCCCGCGTTTCAAAGCGTCCGATCGAGCGGGTGCCACCCGTACAAAGGACGTACGAAGAAATTCAAGTTTCTACTGCAGAAAAAATGAAGCCTGCAGCAGAGCCGATTGAAATTTGCCGGTATTCTACGGTCGAACAAGAGACGGTGGCACCAGTTGAAGCTATTAACGTTACAGTTGATGAGACAGCGATTTTGGAATCATTAATGGACGAGATGGAGTCCGAGCTAGCCTCGACAATCAGTACATCTTTGCTGGAAACCAGGAATGAGCAAATAATCGTGAACAATGATGCAAAAACTGAGATCGAGGTAGAACATATGAATGTGAGAACTAAGGAGGCTGATGTTGTCGAGGCAGTGGCTTTAACAGACAGTGAAAAAAAGGTCGTTAACCACGTGATTAAAAAGAAACTTCCTCACCATTATGCAACCGACACGCGAAATCTGAGAAAATCGGCAGATTCGGATGCTCAGTCGCATGTTAGTGCCGGAACTCGATCTGGTCCATTATCCATAAAATCGGATAGTAGTGAAATAAAAAGTGAAACTGTGAAACATGTGCAGAATTTGGTAGCACCTAAAATTGAATCTTGTGATGATAGTTCCAATGACAAAGTTGTCAAAAAATCATTGGTCTCAAAAGTGTTGATTATTTCGACGGCTGATGATTTAGAAGATAATCCGCAAGAGTCTAATAAGAATGAGCAAGAAATCGCATCACCCATGACTCCACCTGAAAAGAAGGTCAAAAAGATTGAACGGCCAAAAAGTAAGCCAGTACCTCCACCTGCACCACCCGTAAAAATTGATCGTGACGAGTGTGACTGGGACAGTTTGTTTGACGATAATGGCGACTGCCTTGACCCTATGCTGATAGAAGAGGTGAGTCGGTATACTTGTGCTAGACAATAAACGTGTTCTTTTTTTCTTACAGTTCGATTTAAATCACATTTAAATTTATAATTCAATACGATCTAAAAATAAATCAAGTCGTGATAGGGGTATTTTATGCTTTCATAGTTGAATATTAAATTTTTTTTTTTAAACCTTTGATTTTTACGTTAAGCTAAGTGACAAATTATATTTTTTTTTTATAACTAATAATATGTATACTCTTTAGTTAACATCGTCAGTTGGAGAAGTGGTAATCGAGAAGCCGCAAAGTATCAGTTGGAAATCGCTCCCCCGACCCGCGGAAGTATCGAGCGACGAGTTTGCTCATGTGCTAGAGATTTACAATTTCCCTTCAGACTATAAAACAAGCGATTTAACAATGGTATTCAGTCCCTTTAGAGATGATGGTTTCGAGCTTAAATGGGTCGACGATACTCACTGTCTTGCCGTGTTTAGCAGTCCTCTTGTCGGTAAGTACGAATTTAAGTTTTTACTATAGCACTTTGAGTAGGTATTACATTTATTATAAAATCAAAAATTGTAAATCCTCATACTATTTTTTATAACTATTATAATTTTTGTTTAATACGAAGTTATCAACGTTAAAAACTTGGAAATATTTACACAAACTTATTCATTTGTAACGAGATAAATCTATGATTCTGTTTATATCCATCCACCCATTACCTATACACTTCTAATTTTTGCCAACTGAAATTTTACTCATCAGCTGCTGAAGTATTAGCATCGAACCATCCATTTGTAAAAACGAGACCTCTAAGCCAAGCCACTGCTCTCAGTAAAACGAAAGCTCGTAGAAGCTTTGAGTACCTTCAGCCTTACAGAACGCGACCGGAAACCTGCGCTGCTCTAGCGCGACGTCTAGTCACAAAATCACTAGGAGTCACACTTGCGACGGCGAAACAAGAACGCGAGCACGAGAAAATCATTCTGCGCGAAGCCAAAGGTACGTTGTTATCAATAATTATTATTATTTTAATTTATTTATTTCATCTCATTCGATTGTGCGTTTTATTTTAGAAAAAAGGAGGCTTGCAATAAAACAAAGTGAAGAGATCTGGGAAGGCATTATCACGCCCAAGTCAACGACGTAGATATTTTTCGAAAATATCATTACTATCATGCTGAAGTGCGTTGTTATGTATGAGCGTATGTGCCTTGTAATGAAAGACTCAGAAGTATGGAAGCAAGTATTTCGTAATATACTTGTATAAATTAGACTGTTTTCGTAAACATTGTTAACATGTATTAATTGTAAATTTGTTTTAAGTGATCCTGAACTGAAAAGGCTGTATACATGCATATGAAAGTTGATAAAATGTGTTTTTACAATTACTGTTAGTTGCTTCGTTTGAATCGACAATTTTTAGATCCTTAAGTATATTTAGCATAAACAAAAAATGCATCATATAATCTCTTAGATAGTTGGCAAAACTATTTTGACTATTTTACAAAGTACGTTGTACCTCAGATTAGTTTTTTTAATATTAAAAAGTTGTGATTAGTGTTTAAGACAATTAATGGTAGACAATAAAAAATTATCTTGAATTAGCCATTGCTAGTACAGGTTGCTAATGGAGTTATTTTAAGGTCGTGATTATTTTAATAAGAAAAAACTGTTACTCATAAGATTATCTATCAGTGAATAATGACTCGGTGATTATTTACGCACAATATCCTAGGTATGATTAGAGAAATTTATGATCACAAGTACATGAATCAACATTATGGATTGTAATATTTTCCTGATACTCAGAGCGAAATGAAAAATGTTAGTTTGTGCCTATTTTTGTATATTTTATGATTAAAAAATCGTGCAACGAAAAGACCCCTAGTCATTACTTCAGAGAAGTGTGTTACCTATATTCTACGTTATTTTATGGTACATCTGAGAGAGGAAGAGAAATAAAACGTAGTATAGAATACTTAATGAAATAAAATGCTTTATTTCAAAATTATTTTGTTTTTATTTGCAACAGTAATTAAGTTGTTTTTCATTATAAAAAGTCCATGACAATATACACCTTTACAGCTCTTGATTAGTTGTCATTGCACATTGTTCTGCAATTGTATAATAATGGTACAAATCCGGCAGCGACATTTCACGACGTGTTAACAATGAACTCACTTGTGAATAAGTATATACTTTCGTACATTTTCGATTACCATTTGCCACCTTTTTTCTTCTTTTTCTGATGTACCTTCCTCTGCTGCTGTCTAGGACCTGCTGGTTCTGCAGCTGGACTTTGCCGAGGGTTTGGAGATGGCTTGGAAGCTGACATTTTTGTGATATCACTGAAATTTTAACATTGTATTTCAATTTATTCCACAAAAAATGAAAATTGTCAAGAATTTCGTAAAATTGATACAATGAGGAATTCGTGCAGTTTTTTTTGCATCAAATTAATTTAAAAATTGCTTACAACTGATCGCTTGCTCCTGTGGCAGCTCCCTGAGTTCCTTTCATGGCAACATCGCGATTCCTCCTATCTCGTTTCTTTCTATATCCAGTACGTTCGTGTTTGGGTAGCCACCTTTCTGGATCTAAAGGTACACTAGGATCGTAATTTTTTGGTAATTTACCTTTACGCTTCTTCCTTTTGCGCTTTTTTTCCATAATATCGGGCTTTCTAAACAGGTACAAACAATACTTATAAAATTACACTTATCAAAAATAATAATAAAGTTACGATTTAATATATTTTCAAGCATACCCTGGTGACGCTTCAACTTTCTTCTTTATAACTTTTGTTCCAATGACCCAATTACTACTTTCCAAGGCATCAATATCCGTCGATTCAGCCAAATTGTGTAGCGAAGGCAACCTCTTGGACAGGCTATGTGCTTTTGCTGGATCAAACTCAGCATAGGCAATGATCAGCTGGGCTAACGTCTTGGTATCCGAAGGCGAAGCCACCAAAAGCTCCTCCAAACTCGCAGCTGCAACTGCAACTTCTCCGCCTCGCAAATGGAAGTCTGCAGCTTGACGCCACAGTTTTCCAAGACTACCTGTATTTTCCTTAATTAAAAATTCACGGTATTTTTAGTTTTCATAGTTCTACTGTCATTAAAAACCTGATGTTGCCAATTATGTTCGCAAAATACCTTATTTTTCTTGTAATAGTTGACAGCATTCTTGAGAACAGCAGAAGCCTTGATTCTATCATTATTAGCCATGTGCAAAGTGACAAGTGTACTAACGATTCCGGGCAACGATTTTTCTTTTTCTTTCAAATTCTCTAGTATCTTAATGGCATCTTCTCTTTCTTCATTACTTAAAAGTAATTGCACACAAGCCAATTTCAAAGGGAGATAATGTTCGCCCTTAGCCTGCTCGTCGAGCAATTTAACAGCTTCCTTAGCCTTTCCTTCTTTGGCCAGTTGTACAGCTTGCACAGTTACGGTTTCTATCATCATATCAGGATAATCTTGAATAAACTTCTTACAAAAGGACTGACATTGTTCTCCCTGAAACGTATTTCATTCAGCATGTAAGAATTAGGTTTTAAAAACAAATTATTAAATTTACATCATGTACATACCTGATTTGTATAAAGTGCCAACAAACACTGATTGTAGCCAATGCTCTTTCTCTGCCTAGAAGTTAACTTGTATTCCAAGCCTTCCTGCGTGGCATTTTTCATTCTTTTCTTGCTGTCAAACACATTCTGATCTTTATTCAAGGTCGCAATGTTGTTACTCGCTACAGCAACCAGAGCAATATCATCAGGCCTTTTCTTCAGAGCAGCAGTGTACAAGGCTTGAGCCTCTTTTTCCTTGCTTTGCATTTGCAAACAATAGCCAAGCTGAACTCTGATGATACCAAGCTCATCTTCGACTTCCTCTTCCGTCATGCCTTCCTCCTCTAAAGACTCACGACACATTTTCTCTGCAGTACGCAGCTTTTTCTCGGCCTTTGCCAAGTTTGATTTGTCCCCATTAGTGATCGTCGCTATAAGCTGGCATGCAGCATTGTAGGTCAACTCATAGGTATGCTCTCTTAAAGATGGAACATCTACTTGCTGTAAAACATACATTCCATCCAATAACATAGGACAGTAATGGTAGCAAAACGATATCTATACAGAATAAAATTGACACTAAATAGCACTTACAGAATCTTCGTATGCTAAATGGACTAGCACAGCAGCTAGATTCGTTTCTCTCTCATCTTCGTACTCGTCGTTGGAGTTCTTAATGATATCACGATAGACAGCAAAACACTCCTCATATCTCTCCAAGCGATAAAGCACTTGAGCTTTGAGCTCCTTAACTTTTAAAGACAAATTTTGTATGCTTTCGATGATTTTAAGAGCATCTGCAACTTTGTTTAGACGATAGAGACAGTAAGCTTTCTCAAACTCGAGATTTCTGAAACAAAGTACCTCAAAATGACATACCTGTGTACAGAGAACAATTTAGTTAGAAATCAAATGGGAAAATAGAAAAACCAACGGTAGCAATTTGGGAAACTTGTTGATGAGTTGCAAGGCATCGTTGAACTTGGACAGCTGTATGAAACTGACAACCTTGCAGTGGAGGGCTGCTTCGTTGTCCTGCGAGAGACCGAGTACTGTAGATAAAAAGCAAACGATTGATCGGTGACAGAAAATTCAATAAATAAAAAACTAAACATCTGGCAACAATATGTGGGCATGTGGCCGAGTGCACATTAACGTACACGACACTTACTTCGGTTAGCGGTTTTGAGGGCTCGCTCGTACTCGGCGTTCTGGCCTTGCTTGTGCAGCTCCGCAAAGAGATTGTTCATGCTGCTCTCCTTCGACTCCTTTGCAGTCATTATTAATATATTTTATGAGTCAACAAATGATTTTTTTTTTCTTCAACTGTTATTCACTCTTTTTGGATCTTCTGTCAGACGACAGAACATGTACAGATGTACACTTTGTACAGTACCATCTGTTTACTTTAAGAGGATATATATGCGTTTACGTCTATACCTATACAGTGATTTTTTATATATTAGCGCCACCTTGCGCGGCTGATTTTGAACTAAAAAGTACCCTTAACCCTTATCCCTTATCCCTTAATCCCTTATACATATACCCTTAAAACTTAAAATAATTTATTATGTTACCGAAAATCGACCTCCTATATAAATTATACTTTTGGAGATAAATATTTGGATAAAAAATAAATTTTAAACTTGCCGCAAACAGCATTAATCACGTCAAATTTTTATTTTATATGTATTAAATTAGTTGCGGCTGGTTTATAATTAATTAAATGGCTCTACTGTAAATATAGTAATAGTTATTTGGATCAGCGCCATCTAGCGTTAGTGATTTTTGAACTAAAAAGTGGCCCTAAACTTTTGACCCACAGCATTAGCGTTTAGAGCCATTTAACCAATTATAAACCAGCCGCAACTCGTTTTGAAGCTATAAAATAAAAAAATAACAATACATGTGTTTTTGGCGGCAAGTTAACAATCTATCTTTTACTCGAAAATTTATCTTGAAAAGTATAAATACATAAGAGGTCGATTTTTGGTAGAAAATAGATTGTTAACTTGCCGCCAAAAACACATATATTGTTATTTTTTCATTTTATAGCTACAAGATGAGTTGCGGCTGGTTTATAATTGGTTAAATGGCTCTAAGCGCTAATGCTGTGGGTCAAAAGTTTAGGGCCACTTTTTAGTTCAAAAATCCGTAACGCTAGATGGCGCTGATCCAAATAATTATTACTGTAACTTATATTAGAGCCATTTAGTCAATTATAAACCAGCCGCAACTGATCTTATAGATATAAACTAAAAATTTAACATTTTTTATGCTATGTGCGGCAAGTTTACAATTTATTTTTTACCCAAAAATCTACCTCCAAAAGTATAGATATTCCTACTCATATGGTTTCAGAAAATCGATCATATGTCACTTACTTAGTAGTGATTACTACAATTACCACACACAACTTCACGTAAGTATATATATCTTACACCGTGCTCTCTTCACCAGATTACCAGAATGATAAAATCAGAGGCTGTAATTATATATATTATAGGCTATTCGCTCCGAGCCGATACAGAGGTTGCGCCCCCTCTAGCCAAAATCAGGCAACATTTCTTGCATGTAAACAAACGGCTTAGAACATATATACATGCGTATAGCTGCTTGTGATTGGCTGAATAAGACAGCAGGAGAGGATCGTCGTTCTCTCTCTAGCTTGTCAAGTGCCAATCACAAGCAGCTGTACGTATGTATATATGTTCTAAACCGTTTGTTTACATGCAAGAAATGTTGCCTGATTTTGGCTAGAGGGGGCGCAACCTCTGCATCGGCTCGGAGCGAATAG